TCCCGCCAGTCAGAGGCCCTGTGTTGGCTTCTGAATCTGGCTCCATCTACGATGAACGTGTCCCCCTGTCTGGGCCATCCTTGAGTGTACAGCTCAGGGCATCAAGTCACTGACGTCCTCCCGCCCATCCTCCTCACTCCCACCTTCCCGCACCCCCACCCTGTGCACATCTCCAGCTGCGGCCCCTCCCTTCTGCTGTCTCCTGCTGTCCTCCTAACTCCCCTCTACTCGCCTGTCCCCACCGCTGGACCCCCTGGCGAGGCCCTGTCACCTTCCCCTGCCTCCCAGTCTGGTTTCTGTCTCCATCACTCCACCAAGGGCGGCGTGAAAGACTGACAGTTCAGTCCTTATCTCACTTATTTGCTCTCTGGAGCTCTTCCTGGAAACCCTCCTCTCCCTGGCTCGGCCTCCTGCTCTCAGTCACTAACTGTTCTCACACTGCTCAGTCCCCTCGCTTGGCTATGGCTGTTTCGGCTGCCCCCCTGTCTTCACAAACTGGATGACCCCCCTATGCCTCTATCTTTGCTGACCTTGCTCCTGACAGCCGAACACTACTGGACATCTTCATGCAGACACTCCATGGGGTCTCAGACCAAGCAGTGCACATGGGACACTGTTCTCTCCCCAACTCTCTCCCCTACGCACTCAGATGCCACCACCGTCTACCCACCAAGGAAGACTGGCGGTCATTTCAGACCCTGCTCCGTGTCCACCCCCCAATCCAATCACCTAAGAGCAAAGACCTGTTGATTCGAACTCTCGAGGACCTCTGGGTTCCAAAGCATCTCCTGATCTGTACTCTGGTGGAACACCCGTGGTCTCCAGCTTGGACCATTACAACTGCCTCTCAATCTTAAAACTCTCCACAGGAGTGCTGGGTGTACTTTTCAAAGAGAAAACGTGATCTCTTCCCTTAAATGTGATCTGCTACATCCCCCCCCCCCCCCACTTCGCTACCCTACGGTTTCCAGGAAGTAATCCAAAGCCTCCGCAAGGTTCACAAGGCCAAAAAGGTCTAGCAGCCACCTCGCTTCCTCCCGTCCACACACAGACCGCTGTCCTCAGTCATCTTGGATGCACGTGCGCGGAGTCTCACGTGCAGTCACGCTGTTTCCTGCAGGCAGCATGGCCGTAACTCCCTGCCCTCCACCCCCGTGGTGCTCCTGCTCACCTGGGCTGCCCCTTCCTCCTCCACACTCACCACTGCTCTGGGGTAAAGCCCGGGTCTGCCTCCCATCAGCTGAGGGGTGCTAGCTGGCAGGAAGAGGCACTCATTTCTGTACTGCGCTCAGCACACGTGGCAATGGGAAGGAGGAGAGAGAGAAATGAGAGGCTCATGTGGGCCACAGATTTCAGAAAGGACAAAAAGGACATGTGACGACAGTCCATCTGTTACTAACTTTTATTGACTTAAGGGGCGGAGAACAGGACTAGGAAGTGGCCAGAGGGAGTTACCTACAGCAGCTCTGGACAGTTCTCAATTAAGAAAAGGACTTGTTTTCAGTTGATACTTCAGGACCTTATTTACACCTTCTTCAGATACTATAGCGTCCCTGGTCACCAACACTGTGATGTCTAAGTTCCCCGGGGGTTAGACGGTCTACCAGAGAAGACTCACCGGCTGCCCATAGGGTTCTTGGAGATGGAAACATGGAAGGAAGGAGGAGATAAAGCAGGTGTTAAGACTGGTTATAAAACAGGAGTGGGATGACGGAGCTGTTTCAGGAGGCCAGCAGGTAAAGGAGGAAAAAGATCTCTCACATGTCGATGACAAACTCTTCACCTCCACCCACACACCAGGCAAACTGACCCGATCTGCCTTGGCTCCAGGCCTCGGGAGAGAGTGCGGCTAGCCGCTCCTCTCAGCTGTCATCTCCAAAGCAGAAATTAACCAAGAGGGCTAATCGTAAACCAGTTCTACAGAATATACTTTCCCTTTATATTTCCCAATTAGCTTAAGAGGGCATGGGACTGGGATGTCCCTGGTGGCCCAGTGGTTAAGACTTCACCTTCCAATGCAGGGGGTGGGTGCAGGTTCGATCCCTGGTCAGGGAGCGAAGATCCCACATCCCACATGTCTTGTGGGCAAAAAACCGAAACAGTAAACAGAAGCAATATTGTAAGAAATTCAATAAAGACTTTAAAACTGGTCCCACATTAAAAAAAAAAAAAAAATTCTTTAAAAACGCGGGGTGGAAAAAAAATAAAAAATAAATAAAAAATAAAAACTCGGGGTGGGGTAGGGCATGTGACTTAGGCACAATTCCCCAGCAAAACACAATCTTCCTGGATCAGACACTCCTCAAAGCCAGCCCTCTCATCCTACTGACTCCACGGAGCTCTGACCATCGACAATCACTCCCGCAGCTACAGCCCAACTCCTTCACGAGGGAAAGAGTTCATCTAGTTAGGAAAAAAAACAGAAAAGGGGGTGGGGGGGAGAGGTAACAACAAACTTCATTTCCTCACGCTTAAGGAATATTGTGAACTCAAGCTGTACTCTGGCAGGCTCCTGAAAGGGCACAGCCCACAACTCCTCCTTACTTACACCACCCCTGCCCTAGGGATGACCCCCATCCTGTCTAGGGGGTGGGTGCTGAAGTATAGCCAAAACATGAGTTTCTTTTCTCCCAAAGACCAATTGCCAAAAACCAACTGCCATGAGACCTTTGGGTTCCAAAATTCCAACTACTCTGGGCTCAAGGCCAACACTTACCAAGGTTTCTCCACAGAGAACTAATTAATCTTCACTTGGTTCAGCACCAACAACGTCAGGCAGCGAGGCCCCCCAGGGCCTGAAGGCTCTGCTCCACAACCGCCCACGTCCTAAACCCCAGCAGCACCCACGGCTGTGGGGGGACGGCCACCTTCAGCATCCTGCTCCGGTCCAGCAGCAGCAAGCTTCAGGTGACACGCTGTTCCCTGACCACCACTGGATTTTCTGAGACCTGTGCCCAAGTTCTCACAGGCTGAGTCACTGGGACTTGATGTGCTGTACCAAATGCTCCCGAGGGGTGGCACTAGGCATGATCCACTGCCCAACCCTCTCACCCTCTGCGGCTGAGGCGGGCCTGCCTCCAGGAAGCCCTCTCCGGAGCTGGGGGACCTTGGTGCCTCAGCTGAGACAGGACCACACGATGCTGAGCATGACCAGGTCATCTGGGGGTATCTCACTCTGAGGTTCCGCCTTTTGGGTACCAACTGCATATTTCACCTTCAGAAATAACACTCCCTGTGGGCAGGGAAAAGGGGATGTATCTGTTCCACTAAATACACATCTAAGGCAGAGACTGGACATCAGACACAAAGACCTTGTTAAAGGGCCTTAACTAAGCAGCCTTCTGTCCCAAAAGACATCTGACCAGAAGCCCCAGAGTCTTCTCATATCACAGCATGAGCAAAGCAGGATGCAATAAATGTCATACAAGGATGACCCCTCCGCAAGAGCAGCCTCTCCTTGTGCTCACTGCCTATCTCCTATGGGGTGATTCAACCCACTTGTTCACACTGAGGCCACGATCCCAGCTTACAGCAAGTGTGTTTTTTAACAACAGGCGCTGACAATACAACAGTGAAGGTGGACCAGGTCTCTGCTGTCCTGACATGTCCGGCTCCTGAAGAGGAAGTTAGTAATAATCAGGTAGTGAACCACGCCTGCTTCGTGTGCTACAGTCCAAATGCACAGAGTGACATTTGCGGTGAAGGCAGGGAAATCTGTTTACCTCCTTTTCAGTCAGCTGGGGAATTTGGAAAAGAAGGCAGGAGACAATAAGCTGTGAAAGAATATAGACAGCCACCTCTCCCACTGACCCTTCAAATGGAACCGCTGAGAAACAGTCATACTGTAAGGTTTTAGCTTCACTAAAATTTCTGCTCACCCTGAAATCAAGTGTTAACAGAGAAATAAAATAGCCAAACAGCTAGAGGGGGAAAGTAATGGGATCCACATAAAGGACTAACTGGGTCACAGGACTCTAGGTTCCTCCCCTCCAGCCCCGCGCAAGAAACAGACGGGTGAGGCTTGTTCCCGTGGATGCTCCAGCCAGGTCAGGGGCTGGACGCCCTAGCACAGCCAGAGCAGAGGAGCCAAGGAGAGCCCAGGCTGTGCCAGTTCCTCACTCAGAACCTGCGGGGCTGGGCAGAGAGCCCTAAGCTCTGTGCGGGTCCCCACTGCCCACGAGAGCGTGCCCAGGCAGGAGTGGTGCAGCGTTCAGGGCTGGACGGAGTGGTTCTCTAAACAACCCTGACGTATAACTTACACACCGTAAGAGTCACCTGTTTTAAGTATATGATTCAATGGTTTTTTAGTAAATTTACCAAACTGTGCAACCATCGCCACAACAGTTTTAGAAGAACATTTCCATCAATCTTGTGGTGTTTTTAATAACTTCCCAATCTGAAAACAATTCTGTTTCAACAGGTGTTAAGAGACTGGTGAATAGGAACGTAGTACCCACTGTTGTTGCGGCCAATTTGCCCATTCTAGGCAACTCACAAAAGCAGAGTCATGTAACATTTGTCCTTCTGCGTCTGGCTTGCCTCACTTAGCACAATGTTTTCAGCGCTGATTGGCACTGTTTAACATGACTGAAAACATTCCATTGTATGTATATGCTCATCCACTAGTTGGACACCTGGGTCGTGTCCACTTTCTGATTAATTGTCAATAATGCTGCTATGGACATGGGTATACGAGTTTGTAGACCCCACCTCAACTCTGTAATCCAATTTATATGTCGTGTTTCTTCCAAAGTGGTCTTTCTAAGCACATCTCATCATTTCACTGACAGACTGAGTTCCTTAGCTGATAGAAGGACCCTACTCACTCTCTACTACCAACACACACCTATCTGTATCTATCTACTGCTTCAGGAATCCGCCTCACTCTTCCCTGCGCGGCATGGTTCACGGCCAAGGACACATTTCCCCACTACGCACACATAGTCAACCCCCTCCGGTCGTCTCTGCACAAGGACGACCACAGCTGTGAGGCCACTTACCACCCATCAGGGCTTCGGTTCCATGTCCCATCTGAGACGCTCTCTGAACACCTTCACTCCTCACTTCTCTGGCCACAGACCTTTCCTCTGTTCCCACCAGACTCGGTGCTCCTGGAGGTAGCAAGTTTCTCTCAGGTTTCTATCCTCAGAATTTAGCAGAGTGTCAGAGCCACAACAAACATTCAGATCCCTATGGAATGGATTTTTGGTTTATGAGTATATACTTTGAGTGTTCAAGATAAGTTTCATTTTTTAAAAAGTGGTAGAAATACTTGTGGGTCCAATATTTTATTTTTAAAACCACAAGTGACGTGAGCTGCTAACATTCAAACCTACAACATATTAGTTCCCCAAGAAAGGAGCAACAAATAACCACATTTTTCCCAAAGGCTTCCTTTCTCAAACACGCCTGGCCCCTGATCTGTTTCCAGTTTAAGAAGGAACACACTTCCTTAAAGTCAAAGGGTTACTTGTAACCAAGAAAAGTCTCATATCCGGAATTTTTAAAGGATTTATATAAACTCATAAGAAACCAGCAGATACTCAATGAAAAGTAAGCAAAATACCTCACTAGGTATTTCACAAAGGACATCTAAATTGCTAGAAAGCATCTGAACAGGTACCCAATATTATTAGTCATCAATAAAATGTCAGTCAGAACCAGAGTAAGAAACTGCTGCCCACTCATCAGAATGACCAACAACTAGACACTCAGAATATAAGCTCAACAACCCGCGTGTCAACTTACAACCACTTTGGAAAACTGCTCAGTAGTAGTTCCTGAAGTTGAAGAAACTGTACCATAAAACTCAGATAGTATACTCTTGGGAATACTTCTGAAAGAAATCTATGTCTACGTTAACCAAAACAAGTACAACAATGTTTACGGCATTACACAGACACACACATTTATTATATATAGCATTATTATAGTTCACAATACTCCAAAATGCAAGTCACCCAAATACAAAATGAGAAATAAGCTGCAGCAATGGAATACTGCTACGAACTACTGCCTCATGCAGCAACGTGGATGACGACCACAGATCAACGAAGAGCAAAAGAAGGCAGATGGACACAGCAGAGAACACAGTACAAGGATTCTCTCCGTAAAGACCAAGGACAAACACGATGCACATCTATGGACGAAGGAGCTCCCTGGCAGTCCACTGGTTAGGACTCTGTGCTCTCACTGCCGAGCGCCCAGGTTCAATCCCTGGTCAGGGAACTAAGATCCCACAAGCCACAGCCAAAAAATCAAAAACAAAAACCCCCAAATCTATGGAGTAGAAGAAGTCCATCAAGAATAATGACTGGGGGGAATACATGTAACTCCATGGCTGATTCATGTCAATGTATGACAAAACCCACTGCAATGTTGTGAAGTAATTAGCCTCCAACTAATAAAAATAAATGAAAAAAAAAAAAAGAATAATGACTGGGGCTGATGGGGTGGAGTTGCTGTCGGGGAAGGGGCAAGGGGCGCCCGTGGGACCCTGATCTGGATGGTGTCACGTGGGTGTCCAGGCAGCGCTGTGTCAGTTTGGTTCAGTTGGGAACTATGTTTCCCAGAACCCCCAGAGTTCTGAGTTAGAACTGGTTGGAAATGCGACTCGTACCAGGTTTGGAGGCCACACCTTTCCGAAGCTCTCAACAGTCAGATGTGCGGATGAACAGAGACAGAGGCGCCAGGGTTCCGGCCCATCCTCGCTCTCCCTCCAGTCCACCCAGCCCTCCCTTCTCGCCGCTGACCCTGCTGTCGGGCAGCAGCCCCCACCAGCACCAGACCCCAGTGAGCCCCACTGCACAGCAGGTCTCCGGGAGCACTGACCTGTCCACCCACACCAATGCCTCGGGCAGACTGAAGAGGGACTCCCCTGTGACCTCCAACCCCTCATCTGGACCTTCACTGCCCCAACACCTCCCACGGTGGGGAAGGTCTGACTTCTGTAAGAAATCCCTGTCTCCCAAATTTCACACTGCTCGGCTCCCAGCTAAACAACGGACACATGCAGAGGTGTATATATACATACACATCTCTGTGTGTGTGTATACACACACATGACTTGTAATGCTTAAGATTTGTGCACTTTAAGAACATACATTATACCACCATTAAAAAAAAAAAAGTCAAGAAACAAACAAAGTAAGGACATTTTTGCCCCTGTCCTGAGAGAACAGGACTTTGGGGCCACCTGCAGCACACGCCACCGGAATCTGCACTGCACCCCTCACAGCAGGGAAGGACCTGAAGCAGCACTGCTGGCCAAGACCGAGGGCAGCCCGCTGGATACGGCCAGAGCCTAGGGGTGTTTCTGGACACCATCAGGACACGCACTCCCCGCCTGGCAGCTGCCAACTCCCTGGCACCAAGCTCCACGGTCCAGAGGGGAGACTTTGGAAGGGGAGACTCGCCACAGTCCCTGTATACCTGGGGTCTCAAATGGGTGGGAAGGTGTGGGGATAGAGGGTGCAGAGACAAGGCGGCAGGCCAGCCCGTCCAGAACCACACTCTGGTGCTGCTGCAGCGGTCTGGGGTACCACACAAGAATCAGTCCCCAGACTCACTGCTTTCCAGAAGACCCACACGTTTTGCTGACTTTTACTCCCTCATAGCTCAGTCGGTAAAGAATCTACCTGCAATGCAGGATACCCGGGTTCAGTTCCTGGGTCAGGAAGATCCTCTGGAGAAGGAAATGGCAATCCACTCTAGTATTTTTGCCTGGAAAATCCCATGGACAGAGGAGCATGGCGGGCTACACTCCATGGGGTCGCAAAAGTCGGACACAACTTAGCGACTAAACCAACCAACCAACCAACTCCATTCAGCAAATCGCTTATTGAATGCGTGGTATATACATCAGGCCCAACACTTGGCACTGAAATTATGAAGGTGAATAAAAATATGGTGACTGGCCCCGTGGGCTTCCCAGGTGGCTCTTGTGGTAAAGAACGCACCTGGCCAATGCAGGAGATACAAGAGATGCGGCTTTGATCCCTGGGTGGGGAAGATCCTCTGGAGGAGGACATGGCAACCCACTCTAGTATTCTTGTCTGGAGGATCCCATGGACAGAGGAGCCTGGTGGGCTACAGTTCATCAGGGTTGCGAAGAGTAGGACATGACTGAAGCAACTTATCACACACACATGCATGGCCTGCCAGGTTGGATGAAGCACAAGCTGGAATCAAGACTGCCAGAAGAACCATCAATAACCTCAGATATGCAGATGACACCAGCCTTATGGAAGAAAGCGAAGGAGAACTAAAGAGCCTCTTGATGAACGCGAAAGAGGAGAGTGAAAAAAGTTGGCTTAAAACTCAACATTCAGAAAACGAAGAACATGGCATCCAGTCCCATCACTTCATGGCAAATAGATGCGGAAACAATGGAAACAGTGACAGACATTTTTTTTTTGGGGGGGGGGCTCCAAAATCACTGCAGATGGTGACTGCAGCCATGAAATTAAGAGACACTTGCTCCTTGGAAGAAAAGTTATGACCAACCTAGATAGCATATTAAAATCAGAGACATTACTTTGCCAACAAAGGTCCGTTCAGTCAAGGCTATGGTTTTTCCAGTGGTCATGTATGGATGTGAGAGTTGGATCATAAAAAAAGCTGAGTGCTGAAGAACTGATGCTTTTGAACTGTGGTGTTGGAGAAGATTCTTGAGAGTCCCTTGGATAGCAAGGAGATCAAACTAGTCAGTCCTAAAGGAAATCAGTCCTGAATATTCATTGGAAGGACTGATGCTGAAGCTGAAACTCTAATACTTTGGCCGGTGATAGGAAGAGCTGACTCATTGGAAAAGACCCTGATGCTGGGAAAGATTGAAAGCAGGAGGCGAAGGGGACGACAGAGGATGAGATGGTTGGATGGCATCACCGACTCGATGGACATGAGTTTGAGCAAGCTCTGGGAGTTGGTGATGGACAGGGAAGCCTGGCGTGCTGCAGGCCACGGGGTCACAGAGTCGGACAGGACTGAGTGACTGAACTGAACTAAACTAATGCAAGCCTGCCCTTGCCTGCTGCAGGATACAGACAATAAGAAAGTAAGAGATCAAGCACAGACAGCTGACACCTTCATAGCGCAGGTCTACTCACACTGTGTGGCAACTGCATGGAACTGCGTGGGTCCACTCACATGCAATGTTTGAGAACAGTAAATACTACAGAGCTACAGAGCCTGTGGTTGGTCAAACCCACAGATAATGGGGCTTCCCTAGCAGTTCAGTGATTAAGACACTGTGAGTTCACTCCAGGGGCGGGGGTTTGAGCCCTGGTTGGGAAACTAAGACCCCACATGCTGCACGCATGCATGCTAAGTCGCTTCAGTCATGTCCAACTCTTTGCAACCCTGTGGACTGTAGCCTGCAAGGCTCCTCTGTTCATGGGATTCTCTAGGCCAGAATACTGGAGTGGGTTGCCATGCCCTCCCCCAGAGGATCTTCCCCACTCAGGGATCAAACCCATATCTCTTACATCTCCTGCACTGGCAGGCGGGTTCTTTACCACTTGTGCACCTGGGAAGCCCCATATGCTGCATGGCACAGCAAGAGAAAAACAAAACAAAACAGTAAGAACCTACAGACACAGAGGAATCACAGATTGGAGAGCCAAATATAAATTATATACAGATTAACTCCCACATTGTTCAAGGGTCAATGATAATTACAAAATATGACTGCCAGGAAGGAAATGCACAGGTTATGTGGCTAACAGGAAGGGACCTGAGACAGGCTGGTCATGGGAGCTTCTCTGAGCAAGTGACTCACAGCAGAGTCGACAGGACAAGAGAGGGCAGCTCGGGGCCCCCACACCACTACAAGCTCCTCTCTGGAGCTCTTAACACAGCCTTCCTCCAGAGTGGACAATGTCCGTCCCAGACTCTCTCCACTTCACATTTCACAAGGTATTTCCATATAAGCCATCTACTTCTTTTTCACACAAGTCTGAGCTCCTGTCACCACTTGTCCCAGGTCACATATGAGCTATCAGGGGCACCGAGACTGATTTCCCTCCATTGCCTCCCTTCCACTTCCTTTCACCATCACTTTTAAGTTAGGAACTCTTTGACTACAGGTCCTTCCAAGGACCCATCAATCTGCTAAGGATATTATTTTAAGTGGGAAAATGCCAAGTCTAGCTTTCCCACATCTACTTCAGTCCCACACTTATTGTAAAAAG